TCTCTCCCCCAATCCCTGAGACCAGGGACTATTTTTAGCCCTCCCCACCCACAAACAACCGTCCCAGCAAACTTATCCCCCCATCTCACTCCCCCCTCCCCCAACCCTAACTTACTTTCTCAGCTCCTGGCATCAGTGAATGCTGATAAAATTGGCACTAGGTGTAACTTGCAGGATAGGAGTTTGATGGGCTAGATGGGGAGACGGGACCATGGGAGGAATTGTTTGTCTGGAGGTAGGGTGACCAATCTAACTGTCTTGAGAAGGTTAACTTTTTGATCTTTAGACAGATTTAACCTTCTTGAATGTCTGTACAGTTAGCACTTAGATTGACCTAACTAGGGATCCAAGTATAAGGTGTGCACCTGGGCAAAGTAAGTTAGATCAGGTGGCCATTTTTACCATGATCTAATCTCCCCCTACCCTTCCTGAATGTGTGTAGGCAGCCCTAGATTGAGATACAAGTTCCCATGTGGCTTCTGCCAGAAATGTGTGTGGCTGGTTCTAAGAAAGCTATTGGCTGTTAATGACTGGGGCTTATGTGTTGGAAACAATATAAGAACCATAAACAAAAAAGAGGAGAAAACAAACCTCAAAGCAAACAGAGCTGTCAGCTCAGAAGACAAACCTGAATATTTAAAACCATAAGGTGTTTCTGAGCATTCATTGTGACCCCTTGTGGTCTCTGCAGAAGGGAGGAAGTAGTGTATGCATTTTGTCATTTTCTCTTCTCTTGTTTCTCATAACCAGGAGATCTAAACAACACTCTATACCAATTTCTTGCCTATGTTCTTCACAATGTTTAATTAAAATGGCAAGTCTACCTTTTCATTAAGGCTAAGTACAGACAGTCAAAAGGCCTGAGGCTGAATCAGGTCAGTTTTTGTAGGTTTGTTTCAGCTGCAAAAATTAAACTGAGAAACATCTAGACACACATTTACCATTGATTCAGGAAATGCAGGCACATGCCTGCAGTGGCTCAGGCCAGAAGTCAGGGGGCACTAGAGCACAGCTCTCTGGCAATTCCTCTTCCTGCTGCCCCCAAGGTCTCTGGGATTTGCAGTCCAGCATCACAGTAGCAGGACTCTGCATGGCTACTTATCACTTCCTCTTCCTCCTTTGAGGTACCTCTGGAATTTATAGTCCACAGTCACAGCCAGGAGTAACTTTCAGTAAATTTAGCAGCAGGGCAGCTCTGTACTTGATGGGGCTGTCTTCTCTCCCCCCACCCTCCACGCCTTCTTTGCTGGAGCAGATAGCACAGCAAAGCCCAGGGCTGTAAAGCATGCTGAGATACTGGGAGACTCTGAATTAACTTAAACCAGGAAGGTGTCTGGGACAGAGGTTTCATAAACTAAGTTGACCCAAATCAGTTAAGTCTGATACTACATTCAACCAGGTTTATCTTAAACCAGTTTCAGCCCACTTGAAACTGGTTTATGTCTACTGAACTTCCGTTTTGTTATAGATTGAAACTAGTTTCTGATGACTTAAACTGGCTTATGTCTAACTTCTGTCCCTGTCCTAAGTGAGTACTTTCATTTTGTGGACACTGAGAAAGGAGCTGTAGGAAATCTTGGCCCCAGTGAAGGTACTGAGATTTTTTTGTCATGATCTTAACTAAGACCAGGTTTTCTCATCAGACCATTGACAGTAGAGCACTTAGGTTAGGGACAGAAATTATGTATATACCAGTATACATGATTGGAAAGAAGTCTAAACCTATAACAGTACAAAAGTTCAGTGCACAAAGACTGGTTTCAAAATGGTGTTATTCTGTTTAAAGTGGACCTGGATAGATGTAGTATCAGATTTAATCAGTTTAGGTTAAACTGGTCTATTGAACTTCTGTCTCAGATCCTATAGCAAATCACCTTAGTTCATTGTCCTCTGGCTTCCCAGGATACTTTGAGCCCTGTGGCAGAAAGCCACCTTGGTTTCTCCCCAAAAATCTCTGCCCTGTAACACTGTGATTTAAATCTCTGTGCTGTGACCATTCAATTAGGATGGGCCCAGCACACAGGGGACCACACCCTCAGCCTGTCTCTTTAGGGAACTGGAGCTGGCTGCATTCCTGAGGGAGGGGGAAACCTGCTCCCTCTGCCTACGTGACTTGCATCACTTACCTGGGTAAGGGGTTTCTGCCTGGGGAGCTGGGATCTGCCCAGTAACAGGTGATGCATTCCAGATTGGTTGGCTGACAGCCAACTGGGGCTGACCTCCGCTGGCCCAGGTGAATGAGGTCACAGGGGCTATATAAGTTAGGACGGGGAAGGAGGCGGGCTCTCCTCTCCGGCCATGAGGTGACGCAGCAGCCAGGCAGGGGACAGAGAAGCCTTAACATCTGAAACTGGCTCTCTCCCCCCAAACTCACGAGCTAGGAACCGCCTGCCTCCAAAGGGAAACTTCACCTGCCTTTGGAAGATGCTTGTGAGTAAGCTACTCAATCTGATTAGATATTTAGCTGGAAGTATCACAGATGCGTAATCAAAAGGCTACCACAGCCAGACTGTTTGCTCTTTAGGATTTCTAGATATTGCTCTATCCTGTACCCTAGTTTACCCTACCCCCTGTAATCAATAAAGTTCTCCTTTTTGACTGGTGTGGGAGACTTATTGAGGGGTGGGTCTAAATTATGCCTAAGAGACCCCTTAGGTCTGTGGACTAAGGGAGACTATACCTTTTTGCCCCCGGACTTGGGGAAGTACCCCAAGTGCCTGTACTGGGTTGAGTACCCGTGGGACTTTAGGCCTGTGTTACCCCAAGGACACAGGGCCGCGAGACAGTCCATTCTTGGGGTGGTGGCGGCACGTTACCCCCAGACTAGCGAGTGTGCTCCGGGAGAGGGGTCGGCCGGACATAAGGCGCCCCTAGGGAGGCATTCGGAGCCTGGAAGGTGGTCGGGTGCAGGGAGGTGGATGGCTCAACGCAGGAGCACCCCCTACTGGCCCACCTCATGTGGTGGAAACAGCGGAGGGATACGAATACCCAGCTGTGTTCCTGGGGTGGGATCTCTGCACCCGCCACAAGCCCCCCCATGCTAACCTCCTCCTCATAGGGTGGCACTCAGGAATTTGGGTGTACTTGGCTGCTCCGAGCTGGTTGATATAGATGGGGAGGAGGTGGAGAAGGGAGCTTCTGTAGCTCTGCATGTGTTAAACTATGACATCTGTGTCCCTGCATTGGCTCCCTGCATGGCGGTGGGGCGGGGGGCACTCCCCCCTGTTCCAGTTGCAGGGGAGTAGCCCCCCCTCTCCCCTTGCTGCTCTGTCATGTGGGGGTGTGGGCATAGGGACTTGGATGCCAGGATTTTGCCCCTTACCACCCCCCACCCTAGCTGCAGCTGATAGATTCCTGTGGCTGACAGAAGCACTCACCCCTGCCCA